AATCACTTAAGTGCAAGAGTTTGAGGTTGCTGTGAGCTGTGACAATAGAGTACTCTATGGAGGGTGACATAGTGAGATTCTGTCTCCAAAAAAAAAAAAAAAAAAAACACAAAGGCCTTGAATACTGAGAGGAATTAGAAACTATCAACTTGCTTAAATATGAAAGCCCCAGGTTAGGATGATAAACTGTGATGACAATCATTTCACCATCACTGTACTTCAGAGAAAATAAAGAGCATAAGAGGATAAACTGAAGAGGCTGCTCATTCATGACAGAAAGCAAACAGAGCTAGATAAAACAAGAGAAAATACGATCTTAGCCCAGTGGGATGGCTCATGCCTATAATCCTAGCACTCTGGGAGGCTGAGGCAGTGGGATTGCTTGAGGGCAGGGAGTTCAAGACTAGCCTGAACAAGAGAGAGACCCCATTTCTAACAAGTAGTCAGGAATTGTGGAGGGCATCTATAGTCCCAGCAACTCAAGAAACTGAGGCAAGAGAAACACTTGAACCCAAGAGTTTGAGGTTGCTGTGAGCTATGACACCATGGCATTCCACCCTGGGTGACAAGGTTAAGACCGTGTCTCAAAAAAAAGAAAAAGAAACTATGATCTTGAGGTATGTATCTTTTGCATCTTTCTCTAATTCTAGATGGGGGTCTAAAACCATAACTACTCCTATCCACTGCCAAGAGAATCTTATTCTATCATAATATTATAGAGAAAATAAAAAAAACACAGAATCTGTGCTAAAGATTTTCTAAAATAACCAGCCTTGTGCAGAGCATCTATACCTGCTCCACAGATGAACTTACGTCAACTGTGAAGTCAATACTATATTGCTACATAGAAGAATTACTTTTAGTTACACCTTTCACAGGCTATATTGTTAAGCTAAATTTGCACTCAGATTGACCTTGCTTTTTAAATCCTTGGTTAATTAAGTAGCACTCAGGAGGGGGAGCCCGGGCATTGTGGCAGGCTCCTATTATCCCAGCTACTTGGGGGGCTGAGGCAAGAGGATCACTTGTTGAGCCCCAAAGTTTGAGTATACTAGTAGCTATGACTCTACTCAGAGTGACAAAGTGAGAAGTCTCCAAAAAACAAACAAACAAAATCCTCAGTTAAAAAATATCAAAGGGGGCGGTGCCTGTGGCTCAAAGGAGTAGGGCACCAGCCCCATATGTCGGAGGTGGCAGGTTCAAACCCAGCTCAGGCCAAAAACTACAAAAAAAAAAAAATGTAGACTGCTACTTCTGATTATCTTCAAAGTATTTGCAAAAGTGGTCCTATGTGTTTTAGTTTAGAATCTGTATCATAGCAGAGATGGTTTTGCAATAACCATGAAAATTGACGCTACAAGGTTTTTGTTTGTTTTTAATTCTTAGAGTTAGTTTAACTTTTCTCTCCTAAACGAGATCAAATCAGCAGGCTGATTATGATGATAATATGATGACGATATATGATGGGG